AGATGGTTTATTTCTTCACAGCCTAGAGAAAACCGCCTCTCCCTTTAATCAGAAAACTTTCTTTTCCTTCCCTGTCTTCTTCTCTTTCTCCCTCCTTCCTTCCTTCCAATGCTCTTATGATTCCAATATTGTTACTATTACCTAGCTCCATACACATACACACAAAAAGAGAGAGAGAGTATACCACATCACTCACATACATTTATGCAAGGACTGGTACTTTATTCCCACCTGAATTTGACAAAAGAGATTGCTAAAGTAAAGTATTTCATTCTTTCCCTTGTCAGGGATGCAGCTAGGAATAAATATCATCAATCTATGTAGCCTAGCTTTCCTACCAAATTAAAAAAAAAAAAAAATTAAAAAAGGCAGCTTTGTTCACTTAAAAAATCAAAGACGTCCACACTTTATGTTATTACAACTAGTAAAGGTATACTTTAACCTTAGAATTGTACCATTATAGTACACAAGAAGTCTGCTAGAAGTGACTGAGGCCTTCAAACCAGATTTGGAACGAAGAGAAGAAATTAGAAATACATGTGTTATGAACAAATAGAAGATTGTTCATTTTCTCCTTTCTTTTCCCCTAACTTCTGAATAACAATGAACTTTAAAGGTTCTTTATCAAAAGTCCCTAAACTAAAACTGAATCTGTTCTGATTTTATCTGCATTGGACATATCAAAACTGATAGTGTCTGGGATAAAAAACTATCCAAGCCATATTCACTCTTGCTATATACTGCAATCAGTCTCACTGAGAAACCATGTAAATTATCATGGTGATTACAGATCACCACGTTTAAAGAATTGTAGTGCCTAACTGTGGCAGCATGAATAAAAATTTGCACATTGTTACACCATTCTGATTCACATCTTGACCTCATACTACCTGTTAAAATTGCTCTATAATTTGGCAATGGATGTTCTGAATAACTTGCTTTCTTTATAATAATTGGAGTTCTTGTGATGCAGTCTCTAGGGATTATGAAGCTAACGTAAGGGTCACGCCTCTCTGGAAGTTTAAATTCTTGAGGAGTAGTTTCTTGGGAGGAAGAACGGCAATCTTCTTTCAAGTAATTCTCAATTTTTTAAACCTGCTAGAGGTTCGGCTATGAATCAGTTGGACTTACTGACAATGACTTATTGGTAGCAATTACTGGAGTCTAGGTGGTACAGTGGTTAAAGTGCTCAGCTACTGACCATAAAGCCAGTGTATTCAGAATTCATTCTGCTACGAGTTATAAGAAGTGCACATTAGTTATAAGAAGTTATAAGAAGTGCTAAGTCAACACTGTCCAAATGTTTGATGTGCTGTATAACTCCCTGATTTCCAACATCAAAGACCTTCTTTTGTTCAGTTCCTTATTCCTATGTCCCTTGGATTCAGTAGCTTGCTGGAAGGTCTTCCAGAGACTCAGGCGATTGTAGGTCACTATCAGAGAGAAAGAAAACTAAAACACTGAGGTACTATCTCACTTCAGCAGCAGTTGCAAAGTTTAACAGGACAGCAATGAAGAAATAAATATTAAGAAGATGCAGATATAGTAACTCTTAAGCTCTGCTGGTACAATTATAAAGTATTAGAATGCTTGTGGCCCTGTGGTAAGAAGCTGCACTGAAATCCTGAAGGCATTCAGTTCGAATCTACCAGCTACTCTACAGGAGAAGGATGGACAATCTCCTCCCGTGCGATTAACTGCCTCTGAAAATCCACTGGATGATCAGCTATAAATTGGTTCTGACTCAATGGCAAACAACAACATAACCCATATGGAAGACAATTTAATGTTTCTTCAAAAAACTAAACAGAAATCCCATATGACCCAGCTGTTTAACTACTAGGAATAAATTCCAAGTAAATCAGAGCTGAGATTCAAATGGATATACATGATCTATGTTCACAGCAACATTATTCACAATAGCAAGAAAATGGAAACAGCTCAAATACACACCAACAAATGAATGGACTGAGAAATTGTGGTACATTCACACAATGGACTACTACGCAGCACTAAGGAACAATTTTGAAAAATAATATTATAACTTGAAAGAGACTATATAGAATATTATGCTGCATAAAATATCTCAATAACACAAGGACAAATATGATATAAGAGCACTAGTGTTAAAATAGGAGGATAACTGAACAGGATATGTATCAATGTTCTAAGGGAGGAAAGGAAGAGGGAGGGAAGGCCTGAAAAAAAGGGAACAAGTAAAATTACCAGGAGAGCTAAGATTGAAAGGCAGCTGTTACGGGGTGAAAGAATAGGAAAAAAGCAACAGGGACTTGAAAAGATGGGATGATAATCATTATAGATCAATACTATTTAATTATATAAAACACAAGGTTCATGAATGATATATGATGCTGCCCAGGATACACGAACCAGGTTATGTCAAGAAATCTAGAGGACAACTACCTGGCCATCTGATTGGAAGAAATCTGTTATTTATTTCCATTCCAACAAAAGGTGACCCAACAGAATGTGAAAATTATCAAAGGATATCACACGCAAGCAAGATCTTGCTGAAGATTATCCAGAAAGGACTGGAACAGTACAACAGCAGAGAACTGTAAGATGTGCAGGTTTGGTTTAGAAGAGGTCAAGGGCAGGGGTAGGGGGTGAGGATGGGGTGCGGTAGGGTTGTGGAAGCAGCAGGGTGAGGATGGGCAAGAGTGGTAGTGGTGGTGGAGTGTTAATAATTATAGGGTTGCACAATTTGATGAGTAGGGGAGCAAAGGTAATGGGAAGGATATTTTGTGAAAACAAAGTATTCAAACTTTGTAAATAAATCAGTAAAAATTTAAAAAATAAAATAAATTATATATGCAGAAGTGAAGGGGGAAAAAAAGAGGTCATGACAGTAGGGACATCATAGCCAATGTAAAATGGATCTTAGCTAAAAGTAGAGAGTACCAGAGGAATGTCTATCTGTGTTTCACTGACTAAGAAAAGGGATTTAACTGTGTAGATCACAACAAATTGTGGCTGACGTTAGGAAGAATATGGATGCCAGAACACTTAATTGTGCTCATACAAAAACTCTACTTAAACCAGGAAGCTGTAGTCAAAACAGAGCTGGCAAATACTGGATGGTTCAGGATCAGGAAAGGTGTGCATCAGGGATACATCTTATCTCCATACCTTTTCAAACTATATGCAAAACAGATCATTCAGGAGGCTGGACTTTATCAGGAGGAATGTGGCATCAAGATTGGAAGAAGATTCATCAACAACTTGTGTTATACAGATGATATAACCTTGCTTGCTGAAACTGAAGAGGACATGAGGTATTTGCTGAAGAAGGTCAAGGACTGTAATCTTTAATATGAATTGAAGCTCAGCATCAAGAAAGCAATGATTCTCACCACTGGGCCAATCAGCAGTTCCATAATGGATAGAGAAGAGACTGAGATTGTTGACAACTTCAGCATGCTTGGTTCCATAATCAACACTCTGGCACCAGCAGTTAAAAAAAAACAAAAGGCAGCACTGGAAAAGTCTGCTGAGGCTTCTACAGAGTACTGAAGAGTAACCATGTCAGCCTGGAGACTAAGGTGCGCCTAATCCAGGACATGGCCTTCACAATTATTTCCTAAGCATCTGAGAACTGGACAATAAGTAAGGATGATAGAAGAAGAATCTATTCCTTTGAGTTGTGGTGCCAGAGAAGATTGTTGAACATACCATGGACTGCCAAGAGAACAAACAGGTCTGTCTTGGAGGAGGTGAAACTGGGCTGCTCCCAGACAAAAAGGATTTTTCGTTTTGGTCACATGGCCAGGAGAAAAATCAGTCCTTAGAGAGGATTGTCACGTTTGGAAGGGTGGAGGAACAGCATAAAAAAGGAAGACCCAGGTTAAGATGGATTGACTCAAGTGACTGGAGAAATAGGATTAGGTCTGTCGGAGTCAATGAGGTTGGATCAGTAAAGGGCAGGCTTCAGAGATAATGTACATGGGGTCATGAAGAGTCACAGCAACTCAATGGCACATAACAACAGTAACAACAACATATGTTGATTGTATAAAACACAGTGTACATGAAAAAAACAATGCACATGAATCACTTTATGTAAACCAATTCTTAAAAAGGGTAAAAAGAACAAAGTATAAAAGGTACACAATGGTACAAATGGCCAGTTAGTTGAAAAGTTACTAGCTGGCTAGTGATTTTTCAAAAATAAATAGGTTATGAGAAGGCAGATGTAGTATACCTGGTTACTCTGAGCACTAATTGTGATAAGTGTTACTTCTAGTTGAGTCTCCCCCCAATTTGCTTGATTCTTCAACAATAAGTAGAAATGATACAGCTTGTAAAAAAATTAAATAAAGACAAGGAATAGAAGTTATGGAATCCATGGGTAACATAAACAGTTAAGTACAGATCTATTAACCCAAAGGTTAGTGGTTAAAAGATATTTGGAGGCATCTTAAAAGTAAGGTCTGGTCATCAGCTTCTGAAAAATCACAGCCTTCAAAGATTTACGGAATACAGCTCCACTCTGTATATTTAGGGTTACTATGACTTGGGCCTTATTTAACAGTTGGCTTAGTGGCAAGGAGTTGGCACTGCCAACTCAGAGGCTTGCAGTTTGAATCCACCAGCTGCTCCCCCGGAGAAAGAAGTGCCATCTCCTCTCAATAGCTCCACAATAATGTTGGCAGAGGAAGGGGAAGCAAGGAGGAGGTGTAGCACTTTAATAATATCAGAATTGGTGTGAGTTCAGTTTTACTTCTTGCACATGTTTTTTCTTTTTTATTTTGTATCCATAACATTCTTCATTGAAATTATTTTGTGTCTCAGTCTCAATAGTGAAAGGTACATGTTTCTGTTTAAAATGATAACTTGGAAACAACTAATTTACCTCAGTATAGCACAAAATTGTCTCTTCTCTCTACATTTCCTCATGAATATGGCTTAGTTTAAAAAAGGTCGATAAATGTAGTGATTTAAAACAAATCAATAAATAGAGAAATTATTGAAAAACATACCTGACTCTGGCCAGAACAGACTGTAGAAAGTTCATTACTGTCCTAAGTTCAGATTCTCGACAAGCAGGTAAAAGCATAGTAAATCCATCATTAAGCAGTTTCTCATGGGAAGGATGCAAGCAATGGCTGGTCTCAAAGACTTCCTGGACACCATCAATGTAAATGGAAAGAAGAGTCCAAAGAGCCTGTTTCTGCCCTATTTCATCATTCTTAGATACTAAGAATTCCTTTGCTTTCTCCCGGAAAGCATTTGAAAGTTTTTCAGCCAAAACACTAATATCCAAGTTTTTCTGGACATACAATAGAAGGAAGGCCATCTGACCCTTCCAAATGAGAGTCCTTTGAGCAGCTGTGATAGAGGCCCACTTAAGGAAGTTCAGGAGGTCTAAAACATGACTTGCTACATCTTCTACCTCTGCAACAAAAGCTAATAATAGAAAAAGGCTGAAAAAGTTCTGGAGACCAACTTCCGTGAGTTCTTCCATTCTTTTTTGATGAAATTTAGAATATATTCTGCAAAACAAAATAAAATAAAATCTTTAATATTGATCCACTCACAAAAATATGTTTTTAAAGTATCATTCAATATTTTTGACAGTCTCATTTAATTTTTAGTCAATATTTCATTTTGATGCTGCCACGTCACTTTTTCTGCTTAGATAACAAGCTCACAGAACAGCTCTTCTGACCTTCAAATTCCTCAGTGATGCAGCAAATCACATGTAAGTGAATGGAAAGGGTTGTGTGGCTTTTTCTAAAGGAGGGTAAAAATATGACATTTTTATTTTTCTTTCTTATTTTTATTGGTAAATAAAAAAGAATACATAATCTTAGAGTATAAGTTCAATTTCTGTTTACTACATTCTTAACAAGGCAATTTTATATTAACAATTTTCCTTAAGCCCCGTTCCCTCACCATCACAAAATCCTACTCTTGCTTTATTTATGCTCCAAGGCAATTAATTCCAGAAGCTGGAAAAATTATTTTTACCTTTTGTAAAGAAAAACTGTGTTCAAAAGTCCAAGATTAATCATGTAGAAATAATATTTCATACGTTCATCAATACTATTCAATGTAATTTAAGACTTGATATATTTTTCTTTCGTCAATTAAGGGCTTAGAAGAAAGAAAAAAAACAATTCATCTTGAATTCTACTTATGGTTGTTAAATTTTATAACTTCCAAAATTGATTAATGCAGGGCAGAAATGATTAATGTTCATGAGGTTAAATGCTTATTCAAAAGAGTGTTAGAGCTGATAACCTCCCGGAAATAAAGATCTGTTTCATTATCTTTGTATCCCACACCAGGCCCATTACAGTGCATGATGACAAGAAGTTTAATAATAAACAAACTATTGGACGAATTACAACGATTTCTTGTAGCAATAAAGTTCTATTACTATTGCATCTACCATAAAATGCCTTAAGAACTAAAACCAACCCTAGCAGATGAAAGAAGGAAAAACCTATTGTTTAAGCTATAGTCACTTAAGTTTAAGAAAAAGTTCTGTTAAAAATTTATATGCAATAATGGTTACCCGTGGTGGAAGCTACCCAATTAAAACAAGCTCAGAAGCAGGAGTGGCATCCACTTCCGAAACAGCTTGCCTCGAGAAACTATTAATTTGGAGAAACGACAAAAGTTACACAAATGTTCAGGTCTTTTGTTCATAATAGGGTTGCTATGAGTTGTCTGAAACAACAACAAACAAACAAACAAAAAAACCCCCTTCAAACTGTATGACTATAATTTTATAAGAATTTTTCACTGTGGGATTCAAACAGGAATTTCATTTAGTGATTCTTGCAAAGTCCTCTAAGTAGAAAAAGTATTCTGCTCCCTAAGACTCTATGCTGGGCAAGGGGCAGATGATGGTGTACTATACTCCTGCAGAAAAGGACTACTAGGAAAGAAGCTAAGAGTCAAAAGGAACAGACACAGGAAGATAATTAGAATTCATAAACCATGACACAAGTAAAAAACACTTGAAAAAAAAAGGAAATCATAGGCTAAAAGGCTTCTTCTAGACAACTCCAAAAACGAAAGGAAGGCATACTCCTCAATTAGAACATCAGAGTTAGTATCTGGTTCTGTTACACTCTGGTCAGTTTTCATCCACAGAAGCAGTAAGTATGGAAGTTCTAAGGTCAAAGAACACAAACATATCTATTGCTTGTCACCTAATCTGCTTATATTTTTATGCTTATCCCTTTGTTTTGATAAAATATATGAAACAAATTACATAACAAATTTACATCATTCTGGGAACAAAACATTTTTTTCCTAATATCCATCCAGGCTGGGTTTAGAAGGGGTCGTGGTACTAGGGATGTTGTACCTGATGTTAGATGGATCTTAGCTGAAAGCAGAGAATACCAGAAGAATGTCTATCTGTGTTTCATTGATTATGCAAAGGCATTTGACTGCGTGGATCATAACAAACTGTGGCTGACTCTGAGAAGAATGGGAATCCCAGAACATTTAATCGTGCTAATGCAAAACCTATACTTGGACCAAGAGGCAGTCGTCAGAACAGAGCAGGGCAACACTGCATGGTTCAAAATTGGGAAGGGTGTACGTCAGGGATGTGTCCTGTCTCCATACCTTTTCAACCTGTATGCAGAGCAGATTATCCGAGAGGAGGGGTTCTATGAGGAGAGACGTGGCGTTAGGATTGGTGGACGATCTATCAACAATCTGCGTTATGCAGATGACACAACCTTGCTCGCTGAAACTGAGGAGGACCTCATGCACTTACTGCAGAGGGTCAAGGACTGCAGCCTTCAATATGGACTGAGGCTCAATGTCCAGAAGACAAAAATTATCACCACTGGACCAATCGGTAGCATCATGATGGATGGTGAAGAAATTGAGATTGTTCACAGCTTCAGTTTGCTCGGCTCCAAGGTCAACACTCTTGGCACCAGTAGCCAGGAAATCAAAAAACGTATTGCGATGGGGAAGTCTGCGGTTAAGAACCTCTCCAAAATACTCAAGAGCAACAGTGTCTCTCTGGAGACTAAGGTCTGCCTGATACAGGCCATGGTTTTTGCAATCACTTGTTATGCATCAGAGAGTTGGACAATGACTAGGGAGGATAGAAGGAGAATTGATGCCTTTGAGCTGTGGTGCTGGAGAAGAGTATTGAATGTACCATGCACTGCCAAGAAAAACAGATTCATCGTAGAGAGGATTAAACCAGGCTGCTGCTCCTTGGAGGCAAGGATTCTGGGGCTTCGTCTGACATACTTTGGACATGTTATAAGGAGAGACAGGTCTTTAGAGAGGGACATCATGCTGGGTAGAGTGGAGGGACAGCGCAGGAGGGGAAGACCCTCTATGAGGTGGATTGATTCAGTGACTGGGGTACTCGGGATGGGTGTGTCAGAGGCAATGAGATTGGCACAGGATAGAGCACGGTTTAGGGCTGTTGTACATAGGATCGCTATGAGTCGCAAACGACTCGACGGCACATAGTACAACAACAACAACATCCATTTAATATACAAATTCAGTTCTCAGCAATGATAAGATAAATAAGAAATCAAAACTTCATCAGTTGCGGATACTAAGTGTATTCCTCACGGTAACAAACTGGCGGGATCAGAAGTTCTCTATTTTTATGTCTGATATTAAGAAAAGGGAACTCTGGTGGCTTAGTGGTAAGCAGTTGTGCTGCCAACCCAAAAGCATGCACTTCACATCCCTCAACTGCTCCAAGGAAGAAAGACAGTCTATGACCTTTTGTGAAATGTACATTCTTTGGAAACCCACTGGAGCTAAGAGTTAGTTCTGACTTGATGGTATATAACAACATTAAGAAATACACTTTAACTGTACAAACTGCAAAAATCCCAAGCACAAATGAACTTGAAAATAACAACCCATAATACTTCCCAATGATTAACACACAGCAGTCATAGCAAAAAAAAAAAAAAAAAAGACAGAGCACATACCTTCCTTTGACTTGTTTCCAAGGATGAGAGCCATTGCTCTTCAGTGCTTTCTTAACAACTTTTGCCAAAATACAAAGAAAAATTATATAACTACTGCTGGATTCATAAAGGTCGTGGTCTTGTTTATCACAACAGCAGGTCTTCACCATTTCAAGCATAGCCATTGGGGACTTCATGATATTTGCAAGGCCTTTCAAAGGAAGCCAAGAAACACTGAAAGAACTATTCTAAGAGCAAAACACAAAAGGGAAAGAAAATATCAAGTCTCTTAGTAAATGAAAATAGAAATTTGTAAATCTCACGTGGCTGAATAGAAATTTGACCCATTTAATCACAAACATTATATAAACATTCTCATGTATCTTAATAGCATCTCATAATAGCATGAAAAAGTGTCCAAATTTCTACAGCCCAAAAACATGTCTTTTCAACCTACATTTGCCCACAGATCACTGCATTTCATGGAAATGTCTCCTGAAGCCCTTTTACTCTATATAAGATTTCTCATCTTTTTCTTACCATTTATATTTTGGGGAAAAAATAGTAAAGAAAAATGAGTCATTTTTTTTACTCTTTCCCATGTGACTTTAGCAGCTTATATTTTCTAGCATATTCTTTTATTATTTTGTCTGTAAATTGGTGTCTTTAGTTAGAGACTTACCAGATTTAGATTAAGTTTTTTAGTAAGAGTAATTCATTGATAGTGGTGGCTAACTCCTATTGTATCTTATTAGGGAATATGCAATTTCTGTCATTTGTTCTGTAGTATTAAGATGATCAGGTTGTCAGCCAAACCCAACTCTCACAGTGATCTCCATCAGTCTTTTACTTAATGAATTTTTACCCCAATGCTTAGTGTCATTAGATGAACACAGTGAAGATTTTCTAATTTTATTATTCCTTCAAAATTTATTAGTTCATCAAATATTTGATTAGTGTAATATATCATTTGTATTTTCCTTTACAATTTTCAGAAAAAAGGAATTTTTTTTCTAGAGCACTAACTTTTATTAAAGCATCATAAACAGAAGGACTTAAATTCATTTGGTATGCTTTAAATCCATTGCTTTTATTACTGTATCGTATATTCCAACTGTACCAGTTTTGGGCAATGCAACCCTTTCAAGTTGTCTACTACGTCCTTTAGAAAAAAACTCTGATTTACTGTAGTACTTTCCTTGCTTTCTGGTATAACAAGATACTTCAGATTCATCTTGTACATATTCTTTCCCCAGAAGTGAAATCATTGTTCCTATTGGTCTGTTGTAATCCTTGATTTTAATTTTAATAATTTTTATAATATATACAAATCTAATCTATACACATATCTCTCACATGATCTAAAGTAACTAAGTTCTTTATTTCTACCTTTTTAAATATTATCTTATTAGTTTTCCTTTCCTTTCTTAATTTGTTGTTCCTAAACTACAACTCATGCATAGCATTATTTGCTTATACCACAGTGATAGACCTTACCTGCTCTCTATTTATCATTTAAAATCCAGGAAAAAATATTTCTCAAACACATACTTAACATATCACACCCTTGTTTCCCCAAATATCCTCTATCAGAATTTAACTGTTCATAGTCTAGGTCCAACCTCCCTTCCAGATTCTCCATATCTCCTTCCATTATTCACAATCAAACCAGGCCCAACACAGAACTAGGAACAGATCATGCTTTTGTAGTCGCTCAAATATTTGCCCATAATATTCTTTCTTCCTTGATGGTCTTCTTAACAACATGAAAATTTTATTTCACTGCCTTCGGACCTCGAAGTGCCAGTGGCCTAGTGGCAAAAAGCTATGCTTCAATCCTGAAGGCACACAGTTCGAGGCCACCAGCTGCTCCATGAGAGAAGAATTGGCAATCTCCTCCTCGCCTCTGAAAACCCACTGAAGGGTCAGCTATGGGTTGGTTCCAATTTGACGGTACATAACAACAAACTTAGGACCTAGTTCAGAACTTTAGACTCTTCCTGATTGAATATCCGAGGTTAAACACTGTCTCCTCTAGGTTTTCAGTGTCTTAACATTTTTCCCACAATGTATGTACTTGCCCAACAAGCTGTAATCTACACAAGTGTGAAAAATGTATCACATTCATGATGACAATGCTTGTTCAATGTTCCACAAACATACAAAAATTGTTAGCATCATATAGAAAATATTTACGGATGACAACTTGAGAAAAAGAGAAATCTAATGCTTTCTCCAAAGTCAATGCTCTATTAACAAATGTGAAAGACTTTTTCTTCTAATATTTTCAACTCTCTAGCTCAATATCTTTCTTAAAAAGTCTATTCCAGTATACTTTGCATAAAAATTTAGTTATTTCAGAAAATCTAGAACTATTTATAATCAAAACTACAAAAACATTCCTCTAATTCATGAACAAATTATTCAAATACCTCGAAAAACTTGAAAAACTTACTAGATTCTTACTATAAGATTCCCACAGAATTGTGACAATTGTGATGTTTGGCTCCCAGAAATGGCACAGTGTTAAACAACAAAGAAGAAACATTCGTAGCTGCTCTTCCAGTATACCATCCTGAAAAGCAAACCAAAGTTATGAGAGAATAAATGGGCTGTGGCATTAAAAAAAACCCTCTTGATATTGTACTGAATAATGTGCTACTAAAGAAGAAAAGGAATATAGATCAGAAAATCATATCCATTATTATCTTCAAAGGATCTAAATAAGTGTAAAATATTCTAAAACCTTATCTTAAAGACTACAGATATAATCAAATAATGATAATTACATAATTCCTCCTAACTTTTAACTAAATTATTTAAAACCTACAAAGTGCCTCATAATTCAACAGGGTAGTAAATGAGAAGAAATGAAGTACAAAAAAAAATGATCAAATAATTAAGATGAATTCAAATGCATAGGGTTTGGTCATATTTAAGTACTTTGTTCAGTTTCTTCAGCAGGATTAAAATGGCTGTCCATTTTAAAATCAGATGATTAACAGAGTACAAATATTTCAACTTTTTGGGGAGCAGTGATAGGAGAAAACAAAGTGAGAAAAAACTATACACATAATTAATCCAAAACACAAAGTTGTCATAACATAGAAGCAAAAGGAAAGCAACTAAGAAGAGCAAAACCAGCAACAATTTCCTATGATAAAACAATTGTTTCTTAAAAAACTTCACAAACTTCTAAAGTCAATAAATATTTATTTAGAGCTTATAATATACCAGGCATTGCTCTAGAGTGAGTACTAGACATAGAGCAATAAACAAACTAGACATGGTATATGCACTGATAAAGAGCTTACACTTTTGAGGAATAGATTAAAAGAGGACACTGAAAACAAGCAAGATAAATTCAAGCAATTATAAATACAATAAGGTAGGTAGGGTAAGAAGGCAGAGAAAACGATGGAAGATAGATATCATTATTAGTTCATGTACTATGAATGCAAAGTCCTTTTTAAAAGGTTGGCATTAATAGTCCAATGACTAAATAATGTGAAACCTACATTTAAAGACCAGGAAAAGATCATAGGCAGAGTGAGTGTCCCTCCTGGTGGGCTCCCCTACTGATGAAATTTTCCGCTGTAGGCACCAGAAAAGGACCAGAGGCAGAGCAAGATCTCCTTCAGGTGAGCTTCCCACTTGCAGCGAACTTTGCCACCAGGTGCAAAATCAGAGAGCATTATGACCAATGCATAGCAAATGACTGTAAAGACCATGGTCTGTAACAAGTACACCTTAGACTCCAAACTATCATTGTTGCTCTTCAGTACTTTAGAGAGGTCTCTGACAGCAGACTTCCCCAAGGCAATACGTCTTTTAATTTCCTGGCTGCTGGTACCAAAACTGTAGACTGTAGAGCCAAGGAAACGGAAGCTGTTAACAATCTCAATTTCTTCATCATCTATCATGATGCTACCAATTGGCCCAGTGGTGAGAATCTTTGTTTTCTTGATGTTGAGCTTCAATCCATATTGAAGATTGCAGTCCTTGACCTTCTGCAGCAAGGACTTGAGGTCCTCCTCAGTTTCAGCAAGCAGGGTTCTGTCATCTGCATAACGCAGATTGTGGATGAGTCTACCTCCAATCCTGATGCCACAATTTTCTTTATAGAGCCCAGCCTCCCGGATAATTTGTTCTGCATATAGATTAAAAAAGTATGGACATAAAAGACATTCCTGGTGCTTACCCTTCCCAATTTTGAAGCATGCAGTGTCTTTTTGCTCTGTTCTGACAACTGCCTCTTGGTCCAAGTATGGGTCCCACATATGTTCTGGGATTCCCATTCTTCTCAGAGTCAGCCACAGTTTGTTTTGATTCACACAGTCAAATGCCTTTGCATAGTCAATGAAACACAGATAGACATTCCTCTGGTACTCTCTGCTTTTAGCCAATATCCTTTTGACTTTAGCTATAATATCCCTAGTATCACGGGCTCTTCTAAGCCCAGCCTGCACTTAAGGCAGTTGATGTGCTCAGAGTGTTGATTTGCTGGCGGTTCTCTGTTGATGTGCTATTCCAGTCATTTTTGGATAATCTTCAGCAGAATCTTGCTTGCATGTGGTATCAATGATTTCCACACTTTGTCAGATAACCTTTCTTTGGAATGGGAACAAATATAAATCTTTTTCAGTCAGTTAGCTAGGTGGTTGTCCTCCAGATTTCTTGGCACAACTTAGTTAGTACATCCAGAGCCACTGGCATGCCATCAATTTCTGGAGCCTTGTTTATTACCAATTCTTCCAGAGCAGCTTGAACTTCTTCCTTCATTACCATAGGTCCTTGCTCATACATTGTTTCATAAAATATTTCTGTGTCTGCCAATTCCTTTTGGTATTATGACTCTGTACTCTTTCCATCTTCTTGGATCATTTAACGTTCTACCCAAAGCATCCTTAAGTATTGCAACTCAAGGCTTGAATTTGTTCTTCAGTTCCTTCAGCTTAAGAAATGCTGAGTTCTGCCCCTTTGATTTTCTGACTCCAGCTCTTTGTACATTTTGTATGTGTATGGATAATACCTCATAATATTGTGATTCGGAATAGAAGTTGATATTATATTGAAAATTTTTAACTATGAATACAGCATCATTCTTCTGTTTTACAATCCTGGCACAGTATACCATGTGATTGTCTGATTCAATGCAGTCAGAGCTAGTTCATCTCATCTCACTAATGTCTGATGTTCATGTGTTCCATTTAATGTATTACAACTTCAAATTTTCCAACATTCATACTTTATCCATTTCATGTTCCAACTATTAAGGGATTTTGCAGTTGTTTCTCCTCATTTTGATTGACTTCTAGCTCTACCTTGAATACTACAGCTCACCAAGTTTCTCTATTGTTCATGTCAGTTTGAGGACTAAGGTGCTTCTGACTCAGGCCATGGTCTTTTTAGTTATTTGCTATGCTATGAACAATAACTAAAGATGACAGAAGAAGAATTGATGCCTTTGAGCTATGGTGTTTGAGAAGAGTACTAAATATCTAAAGGAACAAACACATATGTCTTGGAGAAGGTACAGCTGGAGAGCTCCTTGGAAGTAAAGGTGATAAACTTTGTTTCATCTGCTCTGGGTATGTTGCTATAGGAGAGGCTATTCTTTAAGAGGAACATCATGCTTAGAATGTTGGAGGGTTGACAAAACAAAGACCTTCAACAAGATGTACTGACACATTGACTGCAGCAATGGGCTTGAGTATGTTCAAGATAGGAAGGATGGCACAGGATAGAATAAATTCAGATCTGTTTTCATTGGGTTGCTATGAGTAGTACTTGACTCAAGGGCACTGAACAACATTTTCTAAATAATTGGCAAGAGATCATTTTCTTTTCCAAAAAATCAGGCAAGACGTTCAGTTGGGTGGACTGAGGTACAGCATGTACTGAACTGTATGCTAACGAGATGTTCTGAAATAGAACATTGGAGGGTAGAAAAGCAAACATTCTAGAATTGCCTGTAATATGATCAAGAATATAAAGTCAGGCCATTTTCTCTGGCAATATTCAGCTGCAGTGAGGGAGAAGATAAGAGAAAAAGTGGGTTCGGTCAGGTTTAAAATAGGCTAAGATGATAGAATTAAAGATGTCTGTAATGAATTAATTATAATAATGGATTTGGTAGTTGTTGAAATTATTTTGGGAAGAACAGTTAGAACTGAAAAGTAACAAAGTCAATGGCAATGGTTAGAATGAAAAGGAAATGAAAAGAAAAAACCAGAATATAACTATGGAATAAAAAAGGTCTGGCTCTGAGTCAGTTCTGAATCACTGGTAACAAGCTTGAGGATTTGTTTCGGTTAATCACAACCTGAATTATCTGATATTAGACTTCCCAGAATAAAAATATTTGACAACTAAAATAATATAGGGATATATACACTTATGTTCATAGCAGCATTAGTCTCAATAGCAAGAAAATGGAAACAACCCAAACACCCATTAATAAATGAGTGGACTGAGAAACTATGGTACATTCACACACTGGAATATTATGCAGCACTAAGAAACAATAATTTCGTAAAATAGTAGAACATGGGAGAGTCTTGATAGCATTATGCTGAATAAACACACACAGCCTAATACTACACAAGGCAATCATTGTAAAAAAAAAATCTAAGGATTACTAAGAAGATGTGCATAAACATACAAAAAGAGAAAAGGAAAGGGGGAGGGGTGGAAAAAAGGGGGAGTGTAAATTAGTAGGATGGCAGAGTTTAGTGGGCAAATAGAGGAGTAAAGAGGAAAGATTCAATGGAGAGTCTAAAAGATGAGGTAAGAATAGGCATAGACCAACAGTAATTAATAAAAATAGTAATAATCTTATGAAACAGTACAGGAAAGGAAGACCCACGATGACGTGGATTGATTCAGCAACTAGGGTAATGGGGTGTGTTGGAGACAGTGAGATAGGTACAGCGTAGAGCAGGGTTTAGGGCTGTTGTACATAGGGTCGCTATGAGTCGCAGGCAACTTGATGGCACATAACAACATCATAAATGGAACATATATGAATAACTGTATAAAAAAATGTAAATGAATGTATAAAATACAATGTAAACAAATTATTGTATATAAACCAATAAAAAAGAAAAGAAAACAAAAAAGAACCAAAGATGAGAAGTCAAGAAGGGTTAGGTAATCTAAACAAATGGAAACAGGAGGCCAAGGACGACACAGGGAGAGTGCTAGCCCGTGGTGGAGTTATAACCAATGTTACAGAACTATCTGTGTTTGGATTATTTACTGGAAAACTAATTTGCTACCAATGTTCATCTAAACAATAAAATGTTACCCAAAAAAAGTTTCTAGAAGCTATAAATCACTTGAGAGATGACTCCTCATCCTTCCTTCTCTCATGGAGCCGCTGGAAGAATTGAACTATCAGAGGTGTCACCTTCTTTGAGCTAGCACAACTCCCTAGGGACTATGTACTAGATTTAATAAAGATGATAAGATATAGAAATCTCCACACTACTAAACTAATAAGAGATATGAGTATTACATCTATATAAAGAAAATGCAACCTTAAACTGCTGTACAACCTCTTTAATGTCTTTCATTTTTAAACAACCTTTTCATTACAGAATGAATAATTTCCCAAATTACAAAAAAATTCAACTTCATTTTCTTTAAACTCCTACATAAATGGTATCTTATATTATGAAATTTAATATAATTTCTACAGAGCGACAATACAACATGCTTAAAGATGGGGTGAACAGCATATTAAAAACTATTTTAAAAAGAGGTCAAGTCTGACCTCTGGGCCATGAAGCACTACATTAACAGCTCTGCAGAAAGAAAACGATAAGGTATGAAATGAGTGCTCAGAAACTAGGGCCTTATCAGTTAGAGTATGATTCAAGCCCGGAAGACAAATTGCTCAGCAAGGCAAGTCACCTTCCTGCTGTGATGAGGATATAGCTGAATTTCCAATGCCACTGACTATCTCCCTAATCATGTCTTCTAGACTTGCTATCATCCACTCTGTATGGTTTATAGTTCTGAAGCATCTACCACTTATTTTGAACACATTTTGTCAAAGTTGCCAACTAAGAAAATTATCTTTGTCCTTTACCTTAGAACTTATGGTTAGTAACGTAAATTCTTTAAAGGAATAGTCACTAATAGAACTATTGTACACTATTCTTTATTAAGATATAGTTACGATTCTGTCTCTAGTTTTTAAAAGGTAAGCCTGTTACTTAAATAATTTTTAAGGATTATTTAGTCCTTATAAATGAAATCTACAACTTAAAATTTTAGCAAAGCACATAAATTGCCTTACCTGAACACTGATGGACTTTTTCAGCAGTTCTTCTACAAAATTCCAATTTGATTCCATTTGTCTCTAGAAAGGGAGGATACAGGGTTATATCAAAATTACCACTCTTCATTACACATATTTAAAATTATGGTATAGTGAATTAAATGTGATCTGGAAATATTTTATCTTCATAAATCAGTGCAAATTTCTTGAATGTCTAATAGTACTTTTAAAAAAAAAACAGGGGAGTTCTGGTGGCCTAGTGGCAAGAAGCTGTATTGCAATCCCAAAGGTACATGGTTCAAATCCACCAGATGCTCTGCCGAAGAAGGAGAGACAATTTCCTCCTGTACCATGGAATTAGATCTGGTTTTGTTTGTTTGTTTTATACCATGGAGTCAGAACCAACTCATAGCTGACCATCCAGTGGGTTTTTGGAGGATATAAATCACTTGGAAGAAGACTGCCCATCTTTGTGTCCTGAAGCAGATCAATGGCAGTGCAACTCCTTACCAGCTAGGCCATCACAGCTCCCTCTATCATAGTAAGACCTGCTTTATACATCTCAAACATGCTTTGTGACTTCAAAGTGATGACCAGTGTGCTCTGAGGGATTTACATTTGTGTTTGGTCCTCAGTTCGCATGATTAGCAATTTATATATATATGACAGAGGTTCCTCTTGAATTTTAAAGTGAGCCTTTAAGTAGAGTCAATTCTTTAATATATAGAATTTCTTTGTTTTTGAGGATCTTCTTGGTTTTTTAATCTAAAATGCGAAAACCACTGATTTTTCATCTTTGTGCTGCTTAATAACCTTTGTTATCTTTTAAATCTTTACTTTTACTTTGTTCTTGCTACTATCATTAACATTGGTTTTGCTATGTCTGAGAGCCAAGATATATTTCATAGTAGAAAGTTAAAAAGAGTGAATACTACAGTACTAAAAAAGGATGAGTGATACAGGACATTGACACAAGTTGAAGCACACACTGTTACATGGTGAACTCTTCTGAAAACTGAACACAATAAAAGGCAGTTTGACATTTATTATGACTATCAAGACAGCTCTGGTAAGCTATATATGTATGGAAGCTCTGATGGCATGGTCCATAAAGGAGGTACACTGTTAAGTCAGCAACCCCCTCCTGGTTCAAACTCACCATATGCTCTGAGGGAAAAAGATAGACAATTTCCTTCTGTGAAATTTGCAGCTTCTAAAATTTCACTGAAGACCGAGCTATAAGTCAGTTTTACCTGGACAACAATGAGTCTGACCTCATAGAACCATGAATGTTGTCTAACAAATGTAATGTGGTGCATGAATATATTCCAATCCAGTATAAATCTTATTAGAAGTTGTTATAGTAAGCAGTGATGCTTTCTTCTTACATAATTTTAGGGTCCCATCAAACGTGGATCTGAATTCACACACTGTGTACTTAACTTTCCTGAGACTTATTTTCCATGAAATGAATGTTTCTTGAGGAAATAACTAATTAAAAGTCCTGAAAGAGTGTATTTATAGTACGGATAGAGAAAACTTCTTTTCTTTCTGAGAGAGTTTTATGGCTGACTATAAAGTTTGAGGGGATAGCTCCCAAAACGTCCCAAACTTTCTACATAAATTTCAGGAATTAATTTTCTACCTCATTCTTTATTTTAAAAATGTAGCCATTTATTGCCAAGTCAGAAGAACATGTGAGGGTTGAGCAATTCAAGTTTGTCTCTGTCACTTAATATTGTTAAGAAGTGTACTTCAACTGCTGTCTTATCAAGGTATTTGAATCACAGGAATAAGTAATGTGATTCTAACCAGAGGAGTTGCAACTACATAGGTCAGGGGTTTTTTACTGTAAAGCAAAAATAATCTTTGTTCAAAGGGAAAATGACAGTTATAACAGAACTTAAAAAAAAAAATCTGAGAAAAGGAATGCAAATTTTTCAAAAGGAATTTTTAAGTTCATCAGCAGTCACAGTATTTTTTCTATATATGAAGTTAATCCCTATCTCAAGTTTATAATTGATGAAATAGAAGTCATCAGTCTGGAGATATGTTTTATGTTTCTTATACTATCATCAAAACTAAGACACTCACTGAAACATTAATATTGAAGGCATCTTCACCAGGAGTATAAAATAGAACTCCTCGCTCCATTTCCAACGGACGAGGTGGCCTGGTACGAATTTCATTTTAAGCTTGTATCTCACATTTTTATCTAGTCGTCATTTCTGACGTTTCAAAGATGAGCATCGGCTAGCCTGAGTGATTGCACTGTTCCGGGCAGGAAAAGTAGTGTTAAACTGACCCCTGCAATGTCCAAAAGTGGTTTCACTCTTCAAACCCTATTTGGTTTTAAAATAGCTAAGTGAGATTGTGAGAGGATAACATATTCTCATATAAGCTGAAAGAAAAGCATTAAATAGAAATATATGAAAATCTAAAGCCTCTAGTTATGAAAAGTGAGATACCAAAATTTCCTAAAATGCTTATCCTAAGAAATTGACTAGTTTTGTAGTTTAATTCCACATACTGCAAAAAGTCCACATTACAGGAACATTCAAAATAAAAAATAATTAACTACATCTGAAACCTATTTAAAATGCAAAGATTTCACATTAACCTTCAGGGCAAAGCAGTTCACATTTGAAAACTGTAACATCTCCATGATTATCACAGCACTAGAGGCATTTCTCTGCTGAAGAACATATGAATAACCATTATTACTTCATATCATGCTCTCACACCAGATTACTCTTTAATAGAACGAAGTATGCTTACTGCATAACCATTTTCTCATTGTAGTTGCCTATGCAAATACATCATAAAAGGAAAAAAATAATTTAGGCAATTTTCAAAATTTTGATCTAAACATACTCCACACTCAAATTAACATCCTGTGTAATATCTGAAAGAAATGCACAAAAATGCCAGTAAAATCATAGATTAGAATGACTGAATAATTTAACAACATGCTGAGATAATTTTGAGAGTTAAGGGGAAATTAACTAGATAGGAAAAGGAAATAGTCATAAATTGGGAAGGATAGTCCCTGTCAAATTGGCATACATGGCTACCCTGTTGTTAGGTGCGGTCAAGCTGCTTATGACGCACAGCAATGCTGAGCAACAGGCTGGCACCTTGTCCTACCATGCGCCATCATCACAATCTCTGACATGCTCCATCCCACTGTTGTAGTCAATATGTCAACACATCTTGTTGAGACCATTCTCTTTCGTCAACCTTCAACATTTCCCAGCATGACAACACATGCAAAGTATGTGAAACCAAGTTTCACTATACTTGTTTCTAAGGAATAATCTGATCGCACTTCCTTTAAGACAGACGTATTTGTTTTTTTGGCAGCCCATAGGATATTTAGTATTCTTTGTCAAGAACACAATTAAAGGAATTGTTACACTAACCCTCTCCCCCTCCCCCCAAAAAAGGCAAAGGTGCTGCTGTGAAGTCAATTCAGATTCAGTGACTCCATGGAGTTTCTGAGGTAATACATCTGTGAAAATCAGTTGTCACATTTCTATATCATGGAGCAGATGGTAGAAAAGTGCTTAACTACTATGTCACCAGCATCCTTGGTTAGCATATCATGGTTAACCTATCAAGGACCAATTCATAAATTGTGACCCTCTGAGATCCCCAATATTAAATTTGTTCAAATGATTAAGAGAGCATTTAATTACTGTGTAGTTTATTAACCTGTAAAACTAATATAACTATACTGATTCTGAGCTCTGTGGAATTTTTCAGAATACCTTCTGACATTATTTTACTTTTAGAATTCTTTTATTATTAGATGATCACTCATAGGACCTCTTTAGGTTCTTTTTAGTTTTAGTTCTAGCTCTAGCAATGTTAGGTTAAATAATTCCTCAGAGTAAACCCTATCCAGTCTTTCAAAGAAAGATGTCTTTCAAATCCATCAATATTTCATAAATTCTCAAGCCCAACAAAGGATCAAAGCCAGAAAAAAATTAAAGCCAGGAATCTCAAAAGCTACATCACATCTATGAAATCAAGACCTCCAGGATTCATATACAGAAACCTGGAACCCTGGAGTTAAAAAAATCTCAAAAGTGGGTCTTATAATAAGGCAATTTGGTTAAATATTCTGTTGTTGTTAAGTGCTGTCAAGTCGCAGGTGACTCATAGCGACCCTATGAATGAGAGTCCTTGACGCTTGGGTGCCTTTCATCCTCTTTCCAGGTTCATAGGGTTACGGAAGTGGATGCCACTCCTCCTTCCGAAAACACTCTGTAAAAATGAAAAATTTAAAAAGTACAGTCAAGCTGACTTTTAATTAAAAGACCAATTGCATTGAGAAAATCTGCTGTCAGAGACCTCTCCAAAGTTCTGAAGAGAAATTATGTCAGTCTGGAGATTAAGGTGTGCCTGATCCAGGCCATGTTCTTTGAAATTACTTGCTGTGCATCAGAGAGCTGGACAATGACTAGGGATGACAGAAGGAGAGTTGATGCCTTTCAGCTGTGGTGCTAGAGAAGAGTACTGAATATACCATAGATTGCTAGGAGAACAAACAAATTTGTCCTGGAAAGGGTGAAGCCAGGCTGCTTCACGGAGGCAAGGATTCTGAAGCTCCATATGACATACTTTGGACATGCAAAGCAGCATCAGTCCATGGAGAGGGACGTCATGCTTGGGACGATGGAGGGACAGCATAGGAGAGGAAGACCCTTGATGAGATGGATTGCTTCAGTGACTGGGGTAATGGGGATAGGTGTGTCAGAGACAATAAGATTGGCACAGGATAGAGAAGGGTTTAGGGCTGTTGCAGATAGGGTCGCTATGAATTGCAGGCAACTCGATGGCCCATAACAACAACAAACAACAACAAAGGCAGATGAAATGACACAAGAACATGCTGCAGATAACTATATCTACTAGGTGGTTTTGTTCTTAAGTACTTTTAAAAAACACTAAAAAATGTTATATTCTAAAAGTTGACACTACAGTTAACAATATTTTATTTTAAAAAATCTTTATTATTTTTCGTAGATTAAAATACCTTTGCAAAAAGTTCCTATATAAAAGTATTATACAGAAGAAATAGTTTTTGAGAAATGCTTTACCCTGTGGCAAGTAAAATTATTTACTCTTTTTACTAAAAATCAAAACCTACTTATTAGTGGAGCCAGGATTATATTTCAAGCCTTCTACAAGTTCTTTCTTTTTATTAAAAAATATTAAAAATGTTAATTTTATCCATTTTTAAGAAACTGATAGCAAAGTCCAAAGCTTCTACGCTAGGAGGTAAATTTCTCTGTCAAGATACAATAGGATTTTGTTGTTGCTTCTCTTCACTTACTTTATAATGTTCTAAAAAACATTACAAAATCACACATTAATAGTATGAGAAAGTTTAAAATCATATCTTACCATTTTATCTGGTACACCATGGCGATCAAATTGATAAAATGATGCTAAATGAGTAGTAATCCACCAACAAAAACCTAATGGATCCCTGGACTTGGTTATAGGCACTGGTCGTTGCCGGTCACTTGATTTCTCAAACAGTGTTCTGAGTAGTTTGTTCATCCAGTTCCAAAATGACTATATATAGAGGCAAAACAATTCAGTTAAGAGTTCCAACAACCTTTGAGGTAAAGATTTTCTTCCATTATTATAATATACAAATACAAAGAGACTATAAAAGACATAAACACAATTTAATAAATAATACTAAAAACAGTAAGGTTAAGCTTGAAAACAAAATATAAAAAATACCAACCTACCTACAAATACATTTAATCAGGGATATGAAAGCCTTATATACACAGAAATATAAAATGCTGCTGAGTAAAATTAAAGATGTTCTAAATTAAAGGAAATTCATGTTCATGAATTAGATGGTATCATATTGTTAAGAAGTCACTACTACCCAGAACAGTCTACAGATTTAACATAATCTTCCATTAAAAGTCAAAGAATGAACATGGATCATATATCTACATATAAGAGGTAAAGAGAGAAAAGTCTTAAAGAAAAATAGAAGGGTAAAATGTCTGAACCTTATTTTTGTAATGAGTTCTTAGATATGACACCAAAGAAATGAGCAACAAAACAATACAAAGACAAACTGGACCTCAACAATTTAAAACTTCTGTGGAGCAAAGAAGATTATCAAGAAAGTAAAAAGAGAACCTACAGAATGGGGAAAAATATTTGGAAATCATACATTAGATAAACTGGTAGCCTAGTCAGCATGAAGTTGTGCTGCTAACCCAAAGGCAAGCAGCTCAAATCCGCCAGTTGCTCCTTGAGAGAAACGTGGGCAATTTCCTCCTGTCTGAGTTAAAGCTTCTGAAAGTCTGTTGGAGGGTCAACTATCAGTTGATTCCAACTTGATGTCAATTAATGAGTGTTGTTGTTAGGTGCCGTCAAGCCATGTACGACTCATAACAACTCTATGAGCAAGAGATCTACACCTTGTCTTATTCTGTGCCATCCTCATCATCTATGACCACTTGAGCCCATCATGTCAATCCATCTTATCAGGGGTCTTCCTCTTTTTTCTGACCTTTCACCTTTTCAAGCAGCATGTCCCTCTCCAAGGAATAGAGTCTCCTAGCAACCTGCCCAAAGTATGCAAGACAAAGTTTGGCTTTCCTTGCTTCCAAGGAGCACATTTCTCCTAGACATTGCTGTTTGTTCTTGTGGCAATCCATATGATAATCAGTACCCTAACACCATAGCTCAAATGCATCAATTCTTCTTCTATCACTGTTATCATTATCCAGCTCTCAGTTGTGTGGCAAGTAACTGAAATGATCATGGTCTGAAAAAGGCGCACCTTACTATTCAAAGTGACATCACAGCTCCTCAGTAATTTAGAGATGTCCCTGACAGCATACTTGGCCGATACAATATGTCTCCTGGTCTCCTGTACTTAGTACTTTGGTACTAAGGATGTTCATTTGGGGTACAAGAAAGATGAAACTGTTAATGATTTCAATATTTTCTCTATCATTATATTGCTATCAGTCTAGTGTCAGGATTTTTATTTACATTAAGTTGAAATCCATACTGAAGGCTGTCGTCTTTGATATTCTGCAGTAAGGCTTTCATATCTCAACTTTAAGTAAGTAAAATTGGGTCATCTGCACAATGCAGGTTGTTGAGGAGTTTTCCTCTGATCTTGATCCCATAGTCTTCTTTATAGAGCCTCACTTCTTGAAATATTTGCTCAGAATACAGATCGAATGTGTAAGGAGAAAGGATACAATCCGATGTATACCCTTCCTGATTTTAAACCTTGTGATATTCCCTTGCTCTGTTCAGACAATAGCTACAGGTTTCATATAAGAATTGTCAAGTGTTCTGGGATTCCAACTTTTCTCAGTTAGTGAGTGACAGGGTAACACATAATGATATATATATAGAACTCCTAAACTTGACAACAAAAACAGAAACCCAATTTTTAAGATGTGTAAACAGCTTGAATAAACATTCCTATACAGATATGTAAATAGGCAATAAGCAAAAGAAAAGATGTTTAGCATCATAAGTCACTAGTAAAACACAATTACAACCATTATGTACCCAGAACCCACTAAATTGGCTATCATAAAAAAACAAAAATAAACAAAAAACCCAACAGCAACAACAACAAAACCCCCTTCACCCCAAATAACAAGTGTAAGTGAGAATATGTGGAAACTGGAACACTCATGCATTTCTGGTTGGAATGCAAAATGGCTTAGTCACTGTGGAAACAATTTAGTTCCTGAAGAAGCTAAGAAAAGAATTGCTACAGGAGCCAACAATTCTACTCCTAAACATATAATCACAACTGAATGTAGAGATTCAGAAACTTAGTTCATTTCAACAACACATGTTTACTACAACATTAGTCAAAGAACCTATGGAAACAGCTCAAATGTTTATCAAGAGATACATGACAAATAAATGCTGTAGTACATAGCAAATAAAGGAGTATCAGAACTTAAATTAGAATGAAGAAATGACAATTGGAGTCACAGTGATATATGTGAACTTTGAAAAAAATAAGGCTAAGTGAAATAAATCATACATAAGATAGAATTGTACACATCTACTCATGTACCTATATACACATGTAGACATGTGGATGCATATATATAATCACAATCAATACAGAACATTCAGAATGTGACTAGTACTTTAGAAAGCTCCTACACATCACCACAGTCAATCCCTCTACCTCCCCTATCAATGTGTATATATTAGCCTTTAATAAAAATGCATTCTTTTGCTTTTTAAAACTGTGTCTCATGAATATAAAAGTATATTTAGATACTGTTCTTTCATATTTTCCACCTTCATTTCTGTATTATATGTAACTTCTGCTTTTTAAAATTAATTACTTTCTAATTCTCATTTTGGTAGCATGTAATTTATGAATCTGTATTTTGAAGATTTATAAGTAGTACCTATATTATGAGTGGGAGTTCTGATAGCTTAGTAGTAAGGAATTATGTCAACCCACGGGCACATGGTTCAAATCCACCAGTTATTATGTGAGAGAAAGATGGACAATATCCAGTCCAATTTACTGCCTCTGCAAACCCACTGAAGTCAATCAGGAATTGATTCCAACTCGACAGTACACAACATATATATTTTAAGTTCTTATTTTCGCACTAAATTTGCTGAGTATAACGTTACACAATTTCTACATATTATTGAATAAAAAAATAACTAATCACAGGATTTTAAAAAATCTTATTTGATATGTTTAAAGGCAAAAAAGTTAGCTTTGAAGTTGCAAAATAAAATTTATAAAGTATGGTAAAAGAGATAATAGAACTTACAGAAGTTAAAAAGAAAAAAATCTAAATTAAAACTCATCTGATGGGCTCATCCACCTATTCTCAAAACTCAAACTCACTGCTGTGGAGTTGAAATAAACTCAGAGTTCCTCTCCAGAGGGTTTTCAGAGGCTGTAAATCACACAGGAGGAGACTGTTCATTTTCTCCTATGGATCTTCAAGTCCAACTCAGCAATCCTATAATGGATTTCTGACGCTATAAATGTTTAAGGGAAAAAAATACCTATCTCTCTCTCAGAGCAGCTGGTAGATTGAAACCACTTTTGAGTTAGCAGCATGACCTACTATACACTATACTTATACTATCAGGAGTCCATACAGATTAGGAAGCAGCATCGAAATTCCAAATTAGGAATGACTAAGAAATTCCAAAAATCTAGGAAATGCAGTACATATAGGATAAACCACTTTTAATATAATTTTACAACTCATTGCTCATATTGGTTTATGGGCATTTTTCTTCTACCAATTCCAATCTGCTCCCATAAAAATGACAGGTTAGGAAAACTATGCAGCACTCTGTCCTGAATCACTGGAAAACTATGGGTCAGAAGAGTACACAACTAGCCCAAAACACTTAAAATAAAATCCCATTTTGAGAAATCCTGTGTTCCCTTCTGTGCTTCTCTTTCAGTCTCCTTAAAACAAGAAGCTGGGGCAGCGCCAGCGAGAGCGACACAGCCCAAGAACGCTGCTGCCAGACGGGAGAACACTGCCGCCAGATGGGGTTCTACCGTGAGAGGGGCCTGGAAGAGACCCGGGAAGAACAACAGCCAGCCACCTACTGGGGAACTCCAGAGGAGTGAAGACTGTGAGACCCCAGAGGAAGGAAGACTACCCGACACTGTGACCCCCCTGCAACCCACACCTGTGTGACCCTTAACACACAGGTTGCTGCTGCATAAACCCCCAGCAGCGCCCAAGCCCCGTCCCCACCTCTTGGTGATAGTATCCAAGCCCTGCACTCCTTACCCCCTAGTCCCTTGCTTTCCTCCCCTTCCCCCAGCCCCCTTGCAGCTCCACAACCACACATCTCAACCTCCACCAAAGCCCTGTGTCCTCAGGGCACCACCTTGGATCCAGCCATCACCCTGAGCTATCAGGCGAGCTGTTGAGGAACTAACCTAGCAGGAGAAAGGCCAGTAGGATCTTATCTGTGTTTACTGGGGCTTTGCTGATTATCCTGGAGAGCACCTAAGGGTGTGCCCACAGGTGGGGAATTTAGCCAAGCTCTCTTGGTCTACACCAACTGCCCAAAACGAGCCAGCCAGCTGGCTTCTGTGAACTCTGCAGACCAGTTAGAGGCTAGTGGGTGGGTGGGAATTTGACCTTGACTTTTCGGATCCCGTTGGATCCAGGACCCTGCTGGAGCAGGGGCTATTGTGAGAGGGCACCTGCGTAAGTGCCACCAGGCAGGGAACACTGAGAAAACGATTGGGTAGGAAACAGACAGCAGGAATTTGAGTTAGGACCCCAGTCGTGAGCACACTGAGACAGCAGAGGTTTGAGCAAGGTCCTCCAAGTTATTGACCTGCCCTTGTGATCACCCAACACTTTCCCTGCCTCACCCCATCTGGCTCCACACCAGTGCCTACACATCTGGGCAATCAACTTGCCTTTAAACAGGAGTACCTTGACCTGTTTTAGCAACAAGAGATTGCCCTAGCAGGCGCTGAACTGACATTTTTCTGA